AATATTTAAATTTTATTACATTTTATTTTATTTTTTGTACAGATTCAAGGAGTGAAAATAAAATAATTCATCGTTATTTCTCATATTTACCCTTAGAAAGGCAATTTATCATTTCTTCCTATTATATTCTATTGTGAAATAACGAAATATCGAAGTTTTTATTATTATTATACGTATAAAACATATTTCACAATCAGAGAAAGCGATCGTTTTTCCTCATTCATGACATATGATATATAAAAAATTCCTCAACTAGAATTTCAGACATACGATTTATTTATCTAACAAAAAAAAAAAAAAAAAAAAAAAAAAAAAAANGTGGTCTGAGTAGAGAAATTATAATTACGCACATCCTGTACTGTACATTTGCAGTATATGACATTTACTAGAATTTTTTTTTGTTATTGTAATAGTAGTTACTGTAGTCTGTTACTCTTGAAAATTGTCTTAGTAAACAATAGCGTAACTAATCTAATCTACTACTACAATAATAAAAGTTAATGCATTTCTTGTTACTATAGTAGTATTTTATTACTGTAATACTATACAAGTCGACCTCCCTATAACACTGTTGATAATTCCGTTTTATAAGAATTCCATGTTGTACGAGTCACTTAGATTTTACAAATACGTGTGCCGGGCTGTGAACGGCTCACGTATTTGTAAAATCTAAGTGACTCGTACAATATGGAATTCATATAAAACGGAATAATCAACAGTGTTATGGGAGGTCGACTGTATATAAAATCATAAAAATTTCTTGTGTAAATATTTAAATTTTATTACATTTTATTTTATTTTTTGTACAGATTCAAGAGTGAAAATAAAATAATTCATCGTTATTTCTCATATTTACCCTTAGAAAGGCAATTTATCATTTCTTCCTATTATATTCTATTGTGAAATAACGAAATATCGAAGTTTTTATTATTATTATACGTATAAAACATATTTCACAATCAGAGAAAGCGATCGTTTTTCCTCATTCATGACATATGATATATAAAAAATTCCTCAACTAGAATTTCAGACATACGATTTATTTATCTAACAAAAAAAAAAAAAAAAAAAAAAAAAAAAAAATTTTTTTTTAAAAAAAAAAAAAAAAAAAAAAAAAAAAAACAATTTCTTTTACTACCGTTACTGAAATGAATGGTTACTCACAAGGAACAATTTAATTTATATACATATACACTATTAAAAAGTAATCTCGAGAAACTTTAATTTAAAAATATATACAGGGTGGCCCAAAGTTTGTTAACCATATTTTGTATTTTATAAGTACACGTGTGAATATAAAACGTAAACTAAGTTTAGAACTCTTTGATAAAATAGATAGAAACAAAAATTAGAAAATATAATTATTCGAATAAAACAGCAATTTAAACTTTACAACGGTTAACTGATTTTTGGGCCACGCCCTATATTTTAGCTAAAAAAACAAAAAGCTTTATATAAAGACTTTAACCTTATTCTTGTTTCTATATATAACTTAAATGCATAGAAACTTGTATCTTTATGGGACATTGATAATTCGCTTTTAGCGTCGTTACGATCACTTGATTTTCTGAGTTGCTTGAAGCTTTTTATTATAGCAATTGAATACATCAATATTAGTAAAATCGTTTCTAAGTATTTTGTTGAATAATTACCTCGAAACTTATTCGTATTTTTCAAAACAACTCAATCTATAATGCATTGTATATCATGAAAAATCGATAATTCTTTTAAATAAACCATATACGCAAAACATAACAGTAGCCTAAATGAGTAAGATCTATCAAATTAAAATCAATTAAGGTAAAACCCGTGTAAACCGGAATTGCACGATGTCGAATACTTTTTCCGGTTTGACGAGTTTCCGTCTTGAACAGGTTTCTTCTTAATGTAAAAACATCGCTTCGTTCCGAGGAATTTTTTCCGTTCAGGCAGTTTCCTTTTTATTCAGGTTGCGCTTTGGACAGGTTTTACTGTGGATATAACTTTGCATTGTTTAATTTCAAGTTGTAATCTATTTCTAAATTAATTTTGCGAATATATAAAGCGATTTTAATGAGATCTAGTAATTTTCATGTTAAAATATATATATATATATATAAACTGAGCTTCCAAAATCAATAATAAACTGATTNTTTCCAAAAAGAAAAATTAATATTTATGATAATATGACGTGATTCACGTTAGTCAATTCCAGAAATTATGAGCAATGAGAACTCGAATATAAAATTAAGCTGTAGGAAGTAGAATATTATACAATATCATGCAAACTATATACGAATATTTCGTATCTCGAGATAAAATTCATTGTATCAATATTTATAAATATCACTCGAAGATTTTATAGGAAAAACTGGTCATTTACATAACTCCATTCTGGGGAAAATTTTTGAATCGAAATCACATGACTTCCGGTTCAGACCGGTAGTTTGTACATAGTTAATTGGGCCCTCCTACCCCGAAGCTTTCCATATCTGGTCTCTGCTTTTATTTATATAACACAATTCTCGAGATTAAGGAAGGACAGACAGATAAATTTTTTTTCAAATTGCAGCCTAATTAAACCAAAATTTTAATCAATACAGAACCTCTGACCCCTCTAACTAATTAACAAATCGGTTGAATTGTTTCTAAGCCACTTTCTCATCCGTCTTGATCACATCAAATGGCATCCATTCAAATACGATTTCCTTTACCAATCGGTTTTTACGTTTCATCTCCTCTTTTTCTTCCATAATAAAAGTCAATGAACCTGAAAGTCGTATTCTATGAAAATGGCCGATTTATATCATTGAGAAAGATTCAACTAAGTTTTTTCCTATATTACCATTCATTAAAACTCATATACATGACAATCACGTGTTAAGAGGGCGTGCCACAGTTCAATGATTAATAGGAAATTCTTGAAATTTAGAAATATTAGAATTTTTTTAATAATTTCTAAATTCCGTTTTAATGTTAAACGAATACGCATTGAGAATTCGATAAATTTTAACAAAATCTAATTTTTTAATTATATATAGCCTATATATATATACTTTCTATAATTAATTTTTAAAATAAGTTATTAAAATTATAATAATTTTGAGGTGATTAGGAGATGATTTTAGCTAAATCATCTAACAATTAACATTCAAACCCCTATTTAGCGTCGCCATTTGTTTGCCTTTAAACTTGGCACTAAATCGAGTGTTGCGCTATTTAAGAGAACGATACATCAAAATATATTGTATACTATTTTACTAAAAAATTATAAAACTGATAGCTAAATATATGCTTTACAACGTAAAACTTTTTCAGCTTATTTATAACATTTAAATGTAAATTTTAATAAATTAAAAACAAGATTTATAAATTAAAATCTCGTATTTTTTATCAGCGATTTTTCTCCGAAATTCGCATAAATCTGTCTTGTACAAGTAGCATCTGAATCAGCTACAAAATGCTATTCTATGACATTATGATTAAGTGCATCTGTCCTCAATGCTCTCGACCTGCATGGCGCCTGAAGAGATGGCTTTCCCTCAGGGACATTTACTAGAACTTATTTTTACCAAGAACATTCGTCCCTTCGGCATCGTTGTTAAAATTTCTAACAGAATTTCGTCTTAAATTATTTCTTAAATAGAAATATATTTATTGCTTCTATCTGAAATTAAATACATCTCAAATATACCAGAAAATCTTTTCATTTTCATTAATATTCTATTTTATTTTAGTAGATTCTGGCTGTTACAAACTTCAGAAACATCAGTGAAATAAATTATTTATATGAAACTCTTCGTTATTTTCTTAAAAAATTATTTAATTCTACAATTTTAATAGATTATCGCGTAAAAATTTTATAGCTAAATAAATTATTTTATAAATTTAATGGTATTTAAAATGCCTAACAATTAGTTACATTTTATTGTAATTAACTTTTATTATATAATTAAAAAATGTTATAAAATATAATATTAATATTTCAAAAATTTGCATAATAATTTTTTAAAAATTTTGTTAAAGAATCAAATTATAAAATTTATTTTTAAACGATAATTTATGTAAGTTTAATCCGGAAAATAATTTTTTTTAAATAGAATTTAAATTTTAAAAGAAAAATAGAACTGTAATTTATAACCAGAATAATATTATTATTATTTTAAAAGAAATGTTTAAAGAACAGTTAATTTTACAAATAAATAATTGTGAATATATAAACGATTTTTATTAAAATATAAATTTTTCCGTTTTATATTTAATTTTAGAGCAAAAATTTAACAAAAATTCAGCATTTTATTTAAAAATATATTAAAATAAACGATACTTTAATGATATATTTAGAAATTAGAATGGTTTAGATAAGTTAAAAATTCTTATGGATAGAACTGCTTATATTCGACATTCGTAAATCCCACAACATTAAAATTTCAGACTGTAAGAGCATTTTGAATAGAAGAAAAAATACGTCAAAATATTTACTGAATAAATATATTTTTGATTCTGCGTAGTCTAAAGCAAACAGGATAATATATGTATACTTCAAATGCATCTTTTATATTATAAATATTGAAGATATAACAATGCTAAAACATGAGAAAAATCGATAGAAAAATTCTTTTTTTAAGTATATTTATTTAATTATTTTTTAAATAAAAAAAATTTGGTTAAATATAATTAGAAAAATATTGATATACTATCCGTAAACACAGAGTTCAAAGAATAGGTGTAGTGTCTTTGAACTCGAGCTTACTTCACAGAATTAATCAATACAAAGTTGGATTTTGCTTATAACCACATGTTGACATCTTTTCGGATATAATAAACTTTAATAATTTAATTAGCATAAGATAACAATTTATACTAATTAATTATCCATACAGATAGAGCTTACGCTTAGTTAATTACTTTAAAATATCATTTTTATTATGTTTACTTAATAATAACAATTAATAATTAATATAAATAATATATTTAAATGAATTTTTATGAGAATTTTATAGGAAATTTTAAATACTTACACGAATTCCTACGAATTTTTCGTGTAGAATAACCCAGGATAATAAATAAACAAAGCAAACGTTTGAAGAAAATAAAGCCATAACTTCCGTCGTTCCCAAAATTTTCAAAGAATGTACAATCATATAATTTGATATGACCCAAAGAAGGCTAAAAAGACAACATCTACCGAAAAACTGAAGCAAAGTAAAATTCTTTTCTTGAAAATTCTGTATGCTTTCTCTAAAAATAAAATAAAAAAATGCGATTTAATATATTATAATCAATAAAATCTTTTTCGAAATAATTTTTAATAATATATTTACATTAAAATTTTTTTAACTGTGGTCTTTTCAGACGAAGAACAGGGTCTTAAACTTAAGAAAATTGGGAAAAACATGCAGTTCCACATGCTGCAGAACCATGTCGTAAAAAATGGAGCACTGTATGTGATAGTGCCTGTAGATGGTGACACGGTTGTCATTCTCTGATTCTCTGTGGTGTTTTTCACAGCATTTTTGACATTGGGTTGTGTGGTGTATGTAATTTTGAGCAAGTGTACGGTCCCTACCCATGCCGTAGCTATAACTGTAGTTAATATAATTCCATATGTGACTTTTTTGCCATGTTCGGTACAACACTGACGACCGGCAATTTTCATGTAAGGTTGATTGTCTGCATCACCTATAAAATATTTCAAAATATTATATATTAATAATTAATAATTTAATAAGAAAATAAGAAAGATTACATTCATTATTTTTACACATAAATCTGTGTCAACGTCATTTACAAGTATTGATAAAAATAAATTTTATCGATTAATTCTCAACAGGAATATCATTTCTGGAAATAGCTTTTTTCCACCTTTTTTNTTTTGATAATCCTCGTAGTTGAAGCACTTTTGATTCAATACTTTTATGGAAATGATTAAAGTTCGATAATAGCAATGCTTCATAATCTAACAAGCCCTACTTTAAGTAGGCTATGCTTTTAAACAATTGGAAAGCCATTATTCAGCGCCGGATTTATACATAAAGCTACAACAGGGGTTTCATACTATATGTTGAATTTAGGACCTTGTGCTTTTAAGAATTATTATTATTTAATGAAAACAAGCTGAATAATGAAAATAAGTATGCAATTACAGGATATACGGAATATATTTCTATATACGGTATTGATATAGATTCTATACATATCAATGAATTGTGTGATAAGCAAGCATCAATCCTATTGGTAAACATGTCAAAAATACATAATCAACTGGTATCCATATGATAATCGGGAGAAGGAGTAGTGAACGAAGGAGTTAAGCACAGCCTAATGCGCAACAGCTAGGTCGAGTCTTACCTTGAAAACCAATGTTAGAGAGTCCTATGGCCGACAGCAACATCGTCACGATCTAGCAAACATGATGGTTGGAGAGTTGGAAACCTAGTTTCAACAGACAACCTCCACTATGCAGTTTAATCACCATAGCAACCGGGCAGAAGTCGATAAGAGTAGTAAAGGCTGTTTTCAATCGCACAACACACCGGATTGGAAGATATTAATAGCTACTTCCTAAGCATGATTTTTATTTCTTTTTTTAAAGGACACTTCTATGCTCTTACTGAATTTTTGCTTTTCTTTTAACAATGTAAACATCCGAAATGTCACTTTCGTTAATGAACGGCTACAAAATGCTATTCTATGACATTATGATTAAGTGCATCTGTCCTCAATGCTCTCGACCTGCATGGCGCCTGAAGAGATGGCTTTCCCTCAGGGACATTTACTAGAACTTATTTTTACCAAGAACATTCGTCCCTTCGGCATCGTTGTTAAAATTTCTAACAGAATTTCGTCTTAAATTATTTCTTAAATAGAAATATATTTATTGCTTCTATCTGAAATTAAATACATCTCAAATATACCAGAAAATCNAAAATATTGACATTTTTAAATCCATTTATAAAGAATATAAAACAATTTAAACATTGTTTCTTTTTATAGAAACGAAGGAAATATCTGTTTCTATAGACTTAAGTTTAGAACGTAAATAAAAAATTCTATATATATCGATTGAATATTTAGAAGCGCTTGTATATATTTATATTAGTGGCAGATTTATGTAGGAAAAGAGTGCAATGCGTTAGGATCCGGTCTTTTGAGGACACGGTTAATTAATAACACATTGGCAAGAAAAAATAGCAATTGAAAACACGAGTGAATGAAGGCACTATGTTATAAAATCAATATTTTGAATGAATTGACGTTTAAAAATTTATTATGTAATTTTAAATTAACGTAGCTTTATCCATTGATAAATCTCGTGTCGTTTAATGTCTGAGATATTTGATGGTACCGTGTGATAGACAGATACGTCACACCTTCATCTGTGCAGAACAATCGGATTTTGAATAATTGTGACGTAACACTTCATCCACTCGTGTCTTTCTTACCGTGAAAAGTATAAAATATTTAAATATGCATGTTTTATATATATTGGATTGCAATTTTAGAATTTCAGACCTATAAATTTCCCCTGGCGACCTGTCTGTCTGTTTGTTCTTTCTTAAATTCGAGAACGGAGTTAAATAGATGAAAGTCGAAACCAAAAGTAAAAAGCCTAGGTTAGGACCAATTAACTATATATTCACTTCCGGTTTGGACTGGAAATCACGTTATTGCAATTCAAAAATTTTCTCCAGAACAGACAGATGACTCATTGTTAACAGGAAAAGTATGATGTACAGGGGTACGAGATTACTAAATTCAACATCATTCTACATCACTCAATATATAGGCCTATATATATATATAGATTCAAGTCAATAAGCTTTTTCTAATCTACACAGATTTCAGTAACAATTATATTAAGGAAATAAGAAAATAGCAACTATTAAAAGTAAAATTTGAAAATATCCAAAATTTATAAAGCTCAAACTCCTTTTTTTTTATCAGGACAGCGCTGTTTAGTAGAAACTTTTCTCACAAATTGAATATCGTGTTCATTAAAAATAAAAAATTAACTAAAAGTAAAAATTAAAATAATTTTTATTTTGATTTAATTTTTATTTTTTATTCCAGTTTACAAACAAATATTCACTAATACATTAAAAATAAGCCAGATAGAGGAATATAGATACCTATGATACTTAAAATACCTTTGACACGCAACAAACTTTTCCTTTATTGATTGGAGTAAAAGTAACTATTAGGGCCTATATTTATTGATATTATACTTATTAACATTTTTTGTTATAAAATATTATTTATAAATAGATCTTTTAAAATAAATTATTAGCCTGTTTCAAAATACAAATAAAAGAATCGTTCAAAAAAACTGTATTTTTCATAACGTTTATAGTTAATATTTTGATGTTCAAAGATATCATTCTTAGATGAAACTGTATAAAACTCTAAATGCGATTTTAAAATATAAGTAAAATAGTTTTAATTACAATAAGTTTTTAAAACTGTTACATTATCCCATGGGAAAAGTGGCTGCTTTGATTTTCTCATTATAAACTTAAATTTAAGAAGTTTATCGCCCTATTAATGCTAATCTATTATTCAGTAGTGGTTTATACATAGGCATTATAGGCTTTTGTCTAAAGCCTTACGTTTTTAGGGGGCTCAAATACACTCAAATATGAGCTTAAATGGATATTTACATCTTCTTTACTCAATAATAAGATTTGAGACTTTATATTTACTTCAAGTTTCGGTGATATGGCTTTAAAATACATCCATAAACATAAATATAAAAGGGGGTCTCAAGTTTTCCTTCTTGTACACACTAAATCTATTATTATACTGTACCTTCCATTGTATATAATATAATATACATTTAATTTTATTTATTAAAGTAGAAAACGCATAATTAAAGTTTTATTTATATTGAAAAACAAAGTAAAATTCAAAATTAAATCAAAACTTTCACGATTAAACGTACATTTTCTTTATTTAATTTTGTAAAAATATAATTTA